AACATCACTTTTATTTTGAGGACGCCACCCCATTGTAAGGGGCGGCACTGTAACTTTAAGGACCGCCGCGGATACTTTAAGGGGCGGCTCCATCATATGGAGGGGCGCTACAGATCGTTAATGGGCGGAAATAGGTATGATATTTAGGGACTCCGATACTTCGAAGGGCGCCACCGTTTGTTTGAGGGTGACATCATCACTTTGAGGGGCACCACCGATACTGTTCGGGGCGCCACCGACACTATAAGGGGCGCCACCGACACTGCCAGGAGCACAGTCATCACTTTGACCGGCGCTTCTAGGACATTTAAGGGCGCCGTGAGCACATTGGGGGGGGGGGGGGCGGCACCATGACGTTGAGGGGCGTTACGGAAGGTTTGAGGGGCGGCAGCATAACATTGAGGAGCGCCTCCGACATTTCGAGGGACACCAGCATTTCTTTGAGAGGCGGCACCTTGACTTTTGAGGAGACATCACCGACACTGTAAGGGGCGGCACCATCACTTTGAGGGGCGCCACGGATGGTTTGAGAAGCGGCACCATTATGTATATGGAGGGACGCTACAGAAAGTTAGAGGGCGGCAGCATTGTGTTGATGAGTTCCTCCAAAACTTTGAAGGGCGCCACTGACACTGTAAGGGGCGGCACCAGCACTTTTAGGGGCGGCAGCATCATTTTGAAGGCCGCCACCGACTCGTTGACAGGAGACACCATCACATTTAGGGGCGTCACTGGCACTTTGAGGGAGGCACCATCACATTGAGGGGCGCCACCGATGCTGAAAGGGGCGGCATCATCTTCTTGAGGGGCGGCATCATCTGCTTGAGGGGCAGCTCCATCACAATGAGGGGCTATGTGGATACCTAGAGGGGCGGGCCGGCACCATTATATTGGTGGGTTCCTCTGACACTCCGAAGAGTGTCACTGACACTATGAGGGGCGGCACTAACACTTTAAGGGGCGGCAGCATCATTTTGAGGGGCGCCACCGACTCGTTGGCGGGCAGCACCATCACATTCAGGGGCGGCATCATCTTCTTGAGGGGCGGCATCGTCTGCTTGAGGGGCGGCTCCATTACAATGAGGGGCTATGTGGATACCTAGAGGGGCGGCACCATTATATTGGTGGGTTCCTCCGACACTTCGGAGGGTGTCACTGACACTATAAGGGGCGGCACCAACACTTTAAGGGGCGGCAGCATCATTTTGAGGGGCGCCACCGACTCGTTGGCGGGCAGCACCATCACATTCAGGGGCTCCACCGGCACTTTGAGGGCGGCACCATCACATTGAGGGGCGCCACCGATGCTGAAAGGGGCGGCATCATCTTCTTGAGGGGCGGTATCATCACATTGCGGGGCTCCACAGATGCTTAGAAGGGCGGCACCATTAGGTACATTGAGTGGGGCTACTAACAGATTTAGGGGCGGCACTGTCACATTGAGTTGCGGGATCATCACTTTCTATAGACGGCTGCTTCACTTTAAGAGGCGGCATTATCATTTCGGAGGGCAGCAGCCTCACTATGAATGACGGCACCTAGCCTGCATGTGCGTGCTGCATCCTAGAGGGGGCGGCAACTGGGTCGGCAAACGGCTGTCACTGGGTCGGCATTCTCCGTGACTGGGTCGGCAATTGCCGACCCAGTTAACATGTTAAAATACGCCCTGTGGGAGGGTCCCTTTAAGTATATAATAACATTGGACTGAAATTTCACTTATTCATTGAAATATATTGACATTTCGGAATAAAGTACACCAAAAGTAAACATCTTCGTGAGCAGTTGGTTTGTGCAAGCTATGCCAAAACCTGTACCCGTCGACCAGACGACTGGACTGAACGATCAGGAATGTGTTAACTGTTTTATGTCTGTTTATATTTATACTGTGTGTGCCCAGGTGGTGGTTGACCTATCTGCAGATGCAAATACTTCGGTCGTTTTTTAAATCAACTGGCGGCTGTGATTCTACTGTGCTTGAACGGTCGTTGTTTCAGCGCACGACATAGCTGTTGCTGAGTCAAACCGTTTATGTTTGCCCTGAAGGAAGTAAATTTGTATGACTGAAATGGGTATACCTGCAGGGATAAATTAGCCCATAGGCCATAGCTATATGAACGTATTTTTGCTCCAATAAAAAGTGGCATTATTTTCAAAATAACTTGAATAATTTGCGCAAATCCGCCTGCGCGCACGAGCTGTCACAATTCACCCCACAAACATGTCGATCTGGTGACGTCTGTCGTCGCCATATTCCGCCGGCGAGCTCGACTCAGTCACCCGTCGGCTGCACGAGTCTGTCCCCAGCTGACTGTAGGAGCTGGTGGCTGCAGCGGTAGCCCCAGCGACAGTTAGACGTCCCGTGGGGGTCTGCTTGAGGCGGTGGGGTGTGGGTATACGGTGATGCTGCAACTGGCAGCGTTGGCGGCGATTGTCGCCGCTGCTGCTGCCTCTGGAGGTCTCCAATCAGCCGCCACCAGTCTTCCGCTGCCTCGCCCGTCGCTGTCCTCTAAGCCGGTTGCGGGACGGCGTGGTCTTTCCAACGATCCAGTCTGCTTCCAGCCTCCGCTACCCTGGATGTCAACATTTCAGTGCTGTGAGTGGTCAATGGTCAGGTCAACTCATCCCTCCGTAAGCTGTCGATTTCGTCGCCGACAATTCCATTCGCACTAGTGACACCGTCCATCGGTGCCATGTTTTGTTTAGGATATCATACAATAGCCAATCAATCTGATCGATGTTATGTAAGTCATTTGATGTCAGCTGCGCAACATTGCATAACGTTTGGCTGTTGGCTTGGCCATTGCCCATTACGTAACGAATGTGATTTTTGCCCCTGTAGGCTGTTAGAGAACACACCAGTTATCACCTTGTTATCCCATATTGGTCTGAAACTTTTGAATGCTTTTGTCCTCAGTTCGGATTTCGGAATGCTCTCATACACTCGCATAGGGCTTCATGTGATACCTATAGTTTTGCAAGAAAATAGAAAGTCATAAACAACGAACTGCAAGAAATGCTTATTGCTAATTGTGTATACGGCTGCGTGAGAAAACTATAAAAAAAAACTTTAAAGTTGATCGATCATCGAAGCCTTGTCAAAGTTAGTTCGATCAAAGCAAATTTGATAATAATAGTGTCGTGCCAAAACTTACGCATCAATTCAGCTGACGTGCCAAGCCATGGCTGATGCTACACTCGCAACCTACACTGGCCTACCTGCACTTGCAAAGTCGTGCCAATTAGTTTACGACCAAGCTCAGACTTTTGCAGATGTTTTAAATATTGCCGCTAGATGGCACTAGCGGTAGGCGCCTGAAGGTAGACTGTACCGCATGGCATGAAAATCGCTATAACGCATTCCGATCAGAGGCCTGTTTCACTAAAAACTTGTATTTACAAGTGTTTGTAGTTTACAATTCATAAGTATTTTTACCAACTACGTAAAAACCGATTTCACTAAGCTTCATCGCCAGTGGCACCTCCGATAAGAAAATGTTTGCAAATAAACTTGTAAACAGTAAAATTGTTTTTAATCAAGAACTATAGCATGTTAAAGATATTGCTTCTTTGTATCAAATATTGTCTAGTATTCATGTCAAAAGCTGCCTAATTAAATTATAAATAATGATGCTGTTGGAAAAAGATATAAATGATAGTTCACATTGTCCTATTATTGAAAGAAAATAACACGCAAAATATTTGACAGCAGAAGACTGTTGAATGCAATTATGGCGCGCGAATGACAAAACATGACACTATTTTAATACCGATTATTTTGCTTCTTAGGGTGTGTGCTAAGTAAAAATTGAGCATGAAACGACTCAACAAAGGCATAGTTGTTCTAAATATATGACTGTTTTGCATTATTGCACAAAAAGTATCAAAATTCCGAACGTCAGGACCACTGGAATTTCAGGTTTGTAATTACGATGTTTTCTTTCAAGTTTCTGGTCTTCGTGAAACAGAAAGTTTGCGATTCCCATGTTTTCTAGCAAACTTTTTCTTGTAAAAAAGTTTGCAAATTTTAAACTCAAAATTCATGTTCAAAGGTTTCGTGAAATCCAAATCTCAAATGTTGGTAATTATTTCTTGTAAACTCAAGTTTTTTCTTTGTAAATACAAGTTTTATTTGTTAGTGAAACAGGCCTCTGATGGACGTTGTAACTTGTAAGTAACGCTGGGCAGTGAGTTAAGGGGCATTATATGTCATTTATTTATTTCATCAGCATCACACCACGGTTCAATCATGGTCGTGTGTCATTGCATGGCGGTATGTGCGCCGCAACTGGTGAAATCTGGAGTCGGCACGCGATTTTTGCAATCGTTTTCTCCCTGCGGCAAAGCTGTGCCGTTCCGTTGTCGGCATTTGAGTGACGTCGCGTGACATGATGACATGTTTGGTGTTGCACCACCACTCCACCCTTTCGATGCAAACGCAATAGCAAAGATTCACATGGCACTGTTTATTTTGCTGACAATTTTCGATTAACTAAGGAAAATTATTTTTCTCGGCCCATTCGCAACTATAATAGATCATCAGTCTTATAAAATGCTATAACGTTATGTTGTTATGTATGTTAAATTGTTAATGTTATAAAATGTTATAATAGATCCTAGTAGCATTTGCTCAATTTTTGCTGTAACCGCACATTCCGTGTGAGCCATAAATCAGCCTTATGAAATGATATGTGTACACAATTACATGAATCCAAAAAGTATTTTAATTCCACGTTTAACCTTGATGTCCAACACTGATGCCTACCGATGTGAACGTTATGGAATTATGCAAACAGCAAACTACGTACATCGTTCAGGACGTAAGACGTAAGACTTAATAATAAAAAGCATAGTTAAAAGGCATGCCACATAGAACATCGTCGCTAGAACTATCGTTTCTCTGTTTGGAAGTTCATGTTTATTTTGGAAGCGCACGTGTTTGCCGTTTAAAAATAAAGTGATGTAAAGAAAAAGCAAGGTCCTAAAACTAAAAGAAAAAGTTCATGACGTTTTATAATTTATATGGTACAGAGCCTTGGAAGGTACTTTATTCCAACTTTATTCAAGTGAAAGCGGCATCAGTTTTAAGCTCTTTACCAGCTAATTAGGTTCAATTGCGAAGAGCAGAAGTGATTTTATTTAGTCTTTCATTTGTGTTTGCTTAAATTTCAGGATTCTTATTTAATAAGATTCTTTGCACAATCCGAATCTGGACGTATCAGGAGATATTGATCATTAGGTATTGCTTTTCATTATTGTATTTAGGTATGCATCTACCACATCGTGATCACTGATAGCGATTGGGAAACGTTAAACGGCAGCACAGAGGGTACCCCATCAAAGCCCTTGGCACAACGGCTGCAGTCCGGTTCGCCTCCCCAGTTTATATTGACGTTTGTTGAAAGGTCACAGTGCCACCGGAAATACCAGCCGAAGCCCAGACGAGTCCCCTGGCTTGGCGAATATGGCAGCCTCTTTGGCGTATTCGAGCACTCGGACGTCCCGCATTAGCATATTGTAGATACTTTCGTTCCTTCATGAAAAACATTTTTACTGAAGATGAATGAATCAGCAAATCTTTTAACAACAGCTCATACTGCCTTATTTCGCCCACAAACTGTACGTTTTCTGCGGTGTTTATGAGCGCTGGCCACCGGGTCCTTGGCGCTGGCTGCTGTCGCTGCTGCCGTGGGCGGGGCCAGTGCCGTCTAGCGTCTGCTAGTCGCCCGGCGCCCGCTCGCTCGCGCCAGTCCGCTTTGAAGGGCCGAGGCGGTCGAGTGGTGTCGCGGCGAGCGACCGGCGCAGCGCGCCAGCTGTGTCAGAGCGAGAGGCGGTGCTGTATGCAGCCTGAGCCTCCGGCCGAGTGCGCGCAACATGCCTTCCATCACCATGACGCCAGCTGGGAAAAGTCAGACTCGCAGTCCAACCTCGCCGGATAAAGTTCCAGGTAAACATTCTACTTCATTCGAATATGTTTTATGTGATCGTTACAATTGAACGGTTTCTGTGTGCATCATCCAAACATATAACTATGCTCGTTGAAGCTACAGTATTCCCGAAATGTGTTTACTAAATACATTGTATACTGATGTGTTATGCTAATAAAGCTCACGAAATTTCACTAAAATTATCAAAGTAAACAAATCATTGCTCGTTCATTGATTCATTCTCATGTTTGTTTCGTTTTTTAATTAATTCACTCATTCATTCGTATAGAACTTCAAATGACATCGTTAGTGAATGCGCCTGTGTAAGCCCAACTATTCACACCACAGTGATTAAACTGATCAGTCCCGATGGGACCCATTCATTTGGTCAACACATGAAAGTTCGGGTTTATGGTGTACGCTGAGAGGCATTTCATTCATTCAGCTGTAATACTGAACATAATTCTGACGAGTTGGTTAATTATTATATAACAATATGGTCACTGACTACCAAATGTAACACCCCGAATCAGAATCATCATTACATTCGTCCTCAATACCATTCATCAGTTACCCTCGTTGTTTTCTGCACAGTCATCATCATTGGGTCGAGCACTCTGTGGACCCGACCTATGTCTGCCTGTTACGTCCGGTCAAAGGTTGTATCTGTCCACCGACCACCCACGTAGCCTGGGGCGGCCCCGGCGGCACAGATGCGCGACACACGCACTCACCCCGCCGCTGAGACGGTCGGTACACAGTCGACTGACCTTCAGTCCAACCGTTTGTCGGCCGTCTTCGTGTGAGGTAAACATCACAAACTGGGGACGCAGGGCGATAAATACCGGGACGCCCATTCAACGAGTGCACCCGCACCCAGAGGATATAGCTAACTTCGCGGCTAACTTCGTGCTTGCTATTCGGTGAGGAATTTCATCGAAGAGGCGTTGACTTACTCAATGAGCACGAAGCACAGTGTATAGTTTGGTGTCCCGTGCGCGTTTGTTGCACACAATATAGTGCGTTTTAGGGACAGCGATTGATTGTTAGCTACCAGGGCTATCGATAAGAACCAGGATTTGTTGGATTTGTGGGTCGTCCACTTACTATGCCGATCGCAGGTTTTGAAGTCCGCTGTTCGACTATTGATTATTGCGTGGCCAATAATTGAGCACTGGATCGTGTTCAATGAATTGGCTATCAGGCTTACTTTGGGCGCTGTTTTCGAAAGGCGCGTGAATGATTAAACCTCAGTTAGTGGATAGGAGAGTATTTTTGGCACCTCTGATTTAGGTACCCTCAATAAATATTAAATACAAAACGGAACGGTTGCAACTGTTTGGTCACTAAACGCACTTGACGACCTTCCGATATTTATAGCTTACAGCCGAAGTTGTTCTACCTGTTTTCTGCTTACTTACAAAAACATTGCCTCACACCTGCTCAGATATTATTGCCAGCTGGTGCAGAACGTCAGTCGCCCACACTGGGGTGCACACTGCAGTGCGGCAGTGCAGAGTTGAGGGAAAGAATGTCCAATTGAGTGAGTGGCGCTCTCTATTGAGGCTGTCGCTATAACCGCAGGGATATAACTTTGCCCCATTGGAATACGAAAAAAGGAAACATGATAAACGTGCGCTTTGGAGACCATGTGCAGAGACGAAACATACCTAAGATAGGCTAAAATTTCCTTGATATGTATGCAAGCTATGGGGACCTCTTACCTATATATGTAGACTAAAGATACTGGATACCAGTAACAGTGTCACCGGACACCGTTCACTTTGAATTACTCGATTGGCTGACTTGTTACTGTCACTAGGCGACCATCCTTGAATTTTACGCATAACTTGATTTTCCTAATCCCTTCCCGTCAGAGCACTAGGCGCGTTGCCAAGGAAACCTGTCAGTGATAGTGACCGTTACCAACCCAAAAGTAGGTCACGTACCAAATGCACCCCTAAAACGGCACATTTTCCCCCGCACCTCACGGTCTGCGGCTCATTCCAGTCTGCCGGCCATAGATTTTTATCTCGCCGCCTCGCCGGCTGCTGCACGGATGAAATGAATGGCCTCTGGCCATTGCGCCGGACTCTAGCACCGCGCACCGCTGTGTCATCATACATCGCGGTTTAGCGGCGGGCAGTCGCCCTCCCAAGGCTGGCGCCGAGCGTCGAGTGGGACGGGCGAGGAGGGGGAGTTATCTCCGCTCCCATGGGCCCCCGCGCGGCGCTGGCAGATAGCCGTTTCCGGTGCGTCCTCGGTCCAGACAGCGGGCACACACGCAGTGTCGATAGCGGGCCGCTGCCGCCGCCAGGGGCCGTCCCCCTCCCCCTCCCCCCGGGCGTGGCGGGCGAACTCAGTGACCGGCGCCGGCGCGTGCGCCGCTCTGACGTCACGACTCGTACGCCGGCGGCGGCGGCGGGGACGGGGGCGACGGGAGTCGACTGCCGCGCGTAGGGAGGTGTGCCTGCCGCTCCGTGAGCGCTCGTGACGCGGTGCTACCGCGGCCGCCAACATGCGCTCCCAGTCCTGTGTGCCGCTTGGGTGCGATTTGCGAAAAGTGGCGCCCATCAAGCCAAAAGGTACGGAGAGAGTTGTCTAAGTATCCTATTGTTCTGATTTATCAATAGGAAAAAATAATGGTAGTCCAGTCCTTAAAAGCTGTTAACTTGCATTGTATTTTCGGCGTTTGTTTTGCGCTCAGGTGCCCAGGGAAGGTGTTAATCTATTTACGTTATTATCGGATTATATCGAGCTTTAAGCATGCATTTTACCTTTTTTATTATGTCTCATCGATGGTTACGTGCATGGTTCAGAAAATCGATTTAATTGAAGTGCCGAGTCCCAAGCTACCACACATGCAGGCATGTTTACTTGGGGCAAAAGGGTCGTGCGGCACAGCATAACTGCAGGCGCTTTTCTAGTGCCATCTAGGGACAATAATGGAAACTTCTTATCATTGCGGCACAGTATAACTTCAGGCGTTTAGTCCTGCCATCTAGGGGCCACAAGTGAAGCTTCTTGTCATTGCGGCACAGTATAACTTCAGGCGTTCTAGGCCTGCCATCTATGGGCTACAAGTGAAGGTTTTGATCATTGCGGTGCAGCATGACCTCAGGCGTTTTAGTACTGCCATCTAGGGGTCAACTCACAAGTAAAGCGACTGATCATTGCGGCACAGCATAACTGCAGGCGTTTTACTTCTGCCATCAGGGGACAAGCAATGTATTTTACAGAAATAGTTCGATATCATTTTTTTCTGCTCTTCAAAATGTAAACGTTAGCCTTAAATTTAAACTTGTAAGGGAACCACTGCACTCCAACAGGTTTTTGCCCACGACGTATGTTCTGCCCCCGTATCTGACATATTTTTTGCTCGGCTCAACGCCGGCATGCGAAGGCCGCTGTTTTTGCCTCATCGTGTCCGGGCTAGGGCGGTGTGGAGCCGCCTCCAGCCGACACGCGAAGGCGACTCTCTGACATCATCTTCTCTCCTTCCCCAGATGGAGTCGCCCGCCAGCCACCGTTCCAGCAGACGTATACCGTGGGCAAGGTGTTGGGCAAGGGCGGCTTCGGCACCGTGTACGCGGGCGTGCGCAACCGCGACCGGCTACCGGTGGCTGTCAAACATGTGCTCAAACGCAGCGTGGCCAGCTGGGGACTGGTGAGTAGAAATAGTGTCAGCTGCGGGGGACTAGAGAGTACCGCTAGTTTTGACGGGAAGAGAGGGTATTGTAACTGTTGTCAGCTTAGGGGTAGGACAACTGTTAGCAGCCGTTGCTGGGGAAACTGCTACAGTCGCCAGCTGTGAGTGGAGAGAAACGCCCGTCGGCAGTTGGACAGATACAGACGTCAGGCAACTGATGTGACATTTCTATTCTTAGTGGCGAGTAGCAGCGGGATGGATGAGGATCACCCTCTGTTAGAAAGTATCATTTTCCCGATCTCAGGGCTCGGGTGATCTACTGATAATGCCTATCCACTCGTGCGTGGAGCTTGGTGACCTTTCCTTCACTGATGACCCGCACGTGCACTGCTCTCGCTCGCCGAACTCGACTAATGAGGATCCTCTTTCTTTCAGCTCAACTTCCAGCGCGTACCTCTCGAGGTGATCTTGTTAAAGGATGTACAGCACATCCCTGGCGTGGTCAAGTGTCTCGACTGGTACGAGCGTCAGGACAGCTTCATCCTGGTGCTGGAGCGCCCCGACAACTGTATCGACCTGTTCGACTACATCTCGGAGCGGGGTGCCCTGGAGGAGCGCGTAGCACGCAGCTTCTTCAAGCAAGTGGTGCGCACAGTGGCTGACTGCCACTCTGCCGGCGTGGTGCATCGCGACATCAAGGACGAGAACATCCTGGTCGACCAGCGCACTGGAGAACTCAAGCTCATCGACTTTGGCTCCGGTGCGATACTGAAGGACGGACTCTATACCGACTTTGACGGTGAGTTTGCACTCGGAAATGAGCGAGTTTGCTCTCTAGTAAACTCATGCATCGTATGGTTGTTTTGAAGTCGGTTAATTGTGACCATATGGCTGTGCTGATGATATGGAAGGGTGTGCCACTGTTGTCGGGGCGGGGATATTGAGGTCGCCAGCCGCCCGCTATGTCAGTCTGGCGGTCGGAGGAATGTCTGCCGTCGGTAACGGTCCCTTCCGGCGCCCGTCGACGGCTCTAAATCGGGCGGTGGGCGCGGCTCCGGCGGCGTTTCGGACCGCCGCCGCCGCCGCCGCCGCCGTCTGCCGTCCGGCCGGCGGGCTATAGATAGCGGCGCCGCCCGCCGCTCTGCCCGCTCCGCACTCTCCCCGGCCGCCGGTGGCCGCTCGATACTCGTACTACGCAGTAGACGGCGGCGGCGGCGACGGCGGCCCCCGCCTGACGACGCCCACCCAGCAACGCACTGGCGCGGCCGTTACTAGGTGCGCTGGCGGCGACGACTGCCGGCCGGTTTGACGGGTGACTGACGAACCTCTTTCTCTCTGCCGCAGGTACGCGGGTGTATTCGCCGCCCGAGTGGGTCCAGAACAGCAGCTACTACGGCCTGCCGGCCACCACCTGGTCACTGGGCATCCTGCTCTACGACATGGTGTGCGGCAACATACCGTTCGAGGAGGACCACCAGATCATCCGTGCCCAGCCGTCGTTCCGCGGCAGCCAGTCTGCGGAGGTGCGCGATCTGATCCGGCGCTGCCTGGCCATCCGGCCTGAAGAGCGTCTCACCCTGGAGCAGGTGATGGTGCATCCGTGGATGGAGGCGCAGCTGCCCAGTTCGCCTCCCACCGACATTCCCTCGCGCCGCCAGTCGGACTCGCTCTCATACTCCGACCAGAGCACCGCCAGTCAGGAGAGTGTTTGACGACCGGTTGCCGGTAGCTCGTGAAGGCCTAGCTCAGTCACGGCCGGGCGCCTGGCGCTCGGTCGCCGCGCGCGAGCCGTCGCTCTCATTGTACATACCATCAGTAGGAGCGCGGCCGCGCGCGGGCTCGTTTTATTATGTTCCTAGTACTTGGCGCGTGGCGCATTCGGACTGTGCGTCACACCCAGCTGCTCATGAGCGTCTCGAGGAGTGCGGGAGAGGGAGCATCTGTGGATGATGGCGAGTCTGTGTATATTTATTATTATATATTATTGTGGGTGAGTGTGTCGCTGGCGAGGTGTATAGTGTGCGCGCTTGGTGTGGTGCAGAGTGCCGTCTCCTTGTGTACATATCACGCGGTCAGGGACCGGGCTGGGCGCCGCAGCCCGGTCCTACACGTCTCGCGGCCGATTCCTAGACCAGTGCCATGACGTGCTGCAGGAAACGGCGCCGCTACCGCCGCTGGCCGCCCGCGTGGGCGCCGCCGGCCTCCACTTAGCAAGCCAAAGAGTTCCAAAGTCAGCGTACCGGCGGAACCTGGCGGCTGCAGTGGGCGGTAGCTCTAGTCGAGTTCGCTACTCAACCCACAGAACCCACAGTCCGGCGGGACCTCCCTTTCCACTGTCAGTGTTGCCTTGTCTCTTCACACGTTTTAGCTCGGAACCGCGACGAAGTCGCCTCGCAATTTCTCTCAAAGGGCATCCGCCGTCGGCGAGAAGCCCTGTCAGCGGTGTGCGGCCGGGGCGCCGCCACCCAGCATGTGTAGCGGCGCGCGGCAGGAAGCGCCGCCGCCTAGATCATTCAGTGTGTGCATGTGTGTGTGTAAATGTGCGTGTGCATATGTACGTACCCAACAGCCAACTGAATCACATATTTTTATATGATAAAATGACGATAAATGAAATGCCAGGGTATCAGCTTGTTTTTGATTGTGAGGAGTGAGAGACGAGAGGGGAAAGAGGAGAGAGGAAAGGAGACTGACGAAGGAGCGACATGAGAAGTTGGGCGATACATAAATATACATTTATCTCACGCTAGAAACGTATCGTTGAACATATAGAAACACGCATGCTGACGCCACTAGCGAAGCCAACATACCGATACCTAACGTGCGTTTGTCGATTACGCTTCAGGTGAAATTACTTGATGTCACACATACATACACGGGGAGATCCAGGTATGTTTGCGACAACTGGCGTCATAATTCGCGGGGGAAACTAGACATGCTGGGAGAAACTGAAAAAGGAAGACAACGAGACCATTGGACACTTCCAGTTACTGGTTTATGGGCCCGTAGACGTCAAACCTCGCCCTGCTGTCCAACGGTCGTAGGTCAGAGAAATTGGCCAACGATTGGAATCCGGGCCGGCAGCTGTGGGCTGACGTCCACAGCGACTGCGCAGATCGGTCTGCACTGCGCAATACGTGCAACATTGGGCTGGTCGGGGCAGACAGATCGGGTTACTTCATGGACAACAAGCCAGCGCCACAGACATGCGATCAACAGGTGGGCATGCTTTTACACGTCCCTCCAACCGGGACGGTTTTTACATCAGGATAAATGAACATCAAGGATGCCCGTATACGCGCGAGTGTCTGAACACCTGGTAATCGGGCCGCACCTTTGCCACACCCAAACAGCTGGCCCACGATGAAGCAACACCTGAAACGACATCGAATACCTGAGCCTCAATCGGCAGCACGCGAAGCCAACATTTATTGTAAATTGATGCATAAAAACTTTTCAATTTGGTGTTAGAAGCATTCGGTCAGATGAAATAGCTTTTTTAACATTTTTTAAATACATCAATAATAAACATAGCATGGATTTTGTTACCGGTGCAGTCGTCCTTACCAAGGCCATCCTTACGTCAGACTCTTGCATCAGTACATCCGTTATGCCTAATAATGTAGTTTACGAGTGCTACGCTGCTGGTATGTTCATATCGACACACTTTACCATAAGCAGTAATATGGTATAAGTTATCTAGCAAATATCATGAGTCAAAACGGCACACCTACTATCGGTGCAAACGTATGCGTCAGTCCGTGACTTCTACGAGTAATGATTAGGTGTCAACATGATAGTGTCGCATTTTGAAGCCTCTCGAGTTGTTCAGATAATTTGCAAAGCCCATGCTAATATAGTAGGTATTTTGCTCTTTAGCGTCTGTGGGCTACTTCAGAGCTTCGTTCTTTGCAAAATAAGCAAAGAGCGGCGCCGGCTACCGGCGTGTTCGTTCCTCCAGTGAAGGTGAAAGTGGGTCTGTAAAATGGACGTTGCTCGATCTCAATATATGTATTTACAATAAATAAATAATAACGCCAGGTCGCCGTGAAGCCAAGACTTCAGAGCCCCCCCCCCCCCTGATCCGCCTGAAGGACGCGGTCTTCTTGTGTCTAATCTGTCACCGCGATGCGCAGCAGCGCTGGCAAGGAGCACCTCATGGGAGGCCACTCTCCTTCACCGCTGTCAGGTGTGGGCGGGAGCGGACACGGGCGTGGGCGGGAGCGGACACGGGTGTAGGCGCGGCTGGGACTCTCCGGCGCACACTGCACGAGCCCAGCAGGCGGCACACGCACACTGGGCGGGGCGGCCGCCGTATATGGTGGGCGGGGGCGGCGGCGGCGGGGGCGGGGGCGGCTGCGCGTCCGCCAGTGAGTCAGCACGGGTCGGGGCTGTCCGGGCGGCGCGGGCAGCGCGGGCGAACCGCTGGCGGCCGCCGCTGCAGTGGGCGGCTGACCCACGCCCCTGTCACGGACGGAGCCAGCGGGACCAGTGCCAGCATCGCCGACGTTCGGTTCTGCTCGGTCAGACGGCGGCAGCCAACAGTGCGCAGATTCCGACACCGAACATACGCGGAATGAGTCACTAGCTCGCAGTCAGAGCCCAGAGAATGCCTCACTCGAAACACTGAGGCAAAAGGAAAAACTGATTCACTGCATTTACTGATGCAGTGCAACTGATTTACTGCAACTGATGTACCTACTGCACTTACTATAGACGGATAAAGTGAAGAGTTGACACGTGCAACACAGAGTTGGGAAAGACTTCTACTGCATTGCACGTTTTAGACTATAAATAAGTGTTTACGGATCGTGTGCGTTACAGATTTGACCCGTGTCGAATTTCCTGTCTCGTTTCTTGAGATACACCCACCATTATATACCTATAATGAGAGCATAACAAGTGTCCCGTTTCATCTTTTCCACACCATACACCAATTTTCCGTCCCGTCTCTTCATCATATGATCAGTACTCTTTTATACACCATGTGACCGATTTCCCATCTCTCTCCATACGGACGACTACCCGTCTCCAGATGACCGGAATCCGTTCCCATATCTGCACCATATGACCAGTCTGGTCCCGTGTCTGCCTCCCATATGGCCACTGTCTCGTCTCACCTCTCTACACCATATGACGGCGGTGGGCGGCAGTGGGCGTGAGGGAGAGAGTGGGGGAGGAGAGAGAGGAGAGTCACGCGCCGTCGGGGGAGGCTGCCGACCGACTCTGCTGGCCGACGTAGGAGTATTGATCTTAGCACCGAGGACGCCGCCAGGCGGGGCGACCCCGCCCTGACGAGAGGGAGAGAGGGAGAGAGAGAGAGAGAGAGAGGAGAGAGAGGAGAGAGAGAGAGAGAGAGAGAGAGAGAAGAGGAGAGGAGAGAGGGGGAGAGAAGAGAGAGAGAGGGATGAGGAGAGAGGGAGAGAGAGAGAGAAAGAGAGAGAGAGAGGGGGAGGGAGGGAGGGAGAGAGAGATGGAAAGGGAATCATGATGTGGAGAAAGAGCAATGGAGACGTAGGTAGGAGAAGAAGAGCTTGGAAAAAGAGGAAAGAAAGATAAATTGTGAAATTTTAGGTGCTGTGTTTTGAATCGAATCACCGCAACTATAGACATGCTTTTAAAGGGACCCTCCCACCTTAACATTAGATTTGAGTTGAGATAGCCAAAATGGGGTCCCTGGCTCACAATTACCGGTTTTGGCACTCACAACATCGAGAAATGCCTTAAATCGGAAATATTGAATTTCAAAATTGCAGCATTTTGATTCAGAGGGGCTAATGCATAGGAATACCCCTCTGAATGTGTGACGTCAGCGCAGATATCTAACGATTTTTAAATGTTTGACTAAAACGTTTTGTAGCACGCGGTGGTATATGCTGCTTTGCGCGCAACAAGTGCCGCACTTTCAGCTGCCAAACTATTGCTTCCAAATAAAGTCGCTAGGAACAGCGGAGATCCCAAAAAGTAAACAAAAGTAAAAGTCTAATATCTTGAAAACCGGTGAATATTTTTCGGTGATATTTGGTAGATATTCGTTTTCGCTCTTTCTGAACCGAGCGACATCACTTTCATGCCAATTCATAAACTTTTTTGAAGGCGGGAGGGTCCCTTTAACCCTATTCCTGGCGGGTTCCGCCGGGACAAGAAACTGGCGGGGGCCGATTCGGCCCCCTTCAGATCTCAAAAACTACACATCGCAGCGACAAACGGCGAACGGCGTTTGATAGGTCGTTTAAAGATCTACAACTTTTACATAAAACATTTTCAGGTCAGGTCAATATTGAGGTCACCAGAGGTCATCAACGATAAAATGTTTTGGAATTAGTTACCTATATAACTTTTAAACTAAGAAACATAGAGACATAAAACCAATACATTTTTTGTTGCTCTCGCCGAGGCGATGCGAAATAAGTATGTGCTGACCTTCACAGGTCAATTTAAAATTTGACCTGAGGTCAAGGTCAGGTCATTCATCAATGAGGTTGTGGGGTATGGTCATGCTGCATACCAAACGACGCGCTTTGACCAGGCGAGCAGTTTGGTACCACTTACAAGTCTTGAGCACCATCATGTCGTGATTTATTGACAGAAAAACGATTTATGACGTCACATGACCTCAGATGACCTTTGCCGGTGCGCCTGTCAATTAGCGGCACCAGGATCATCACCGATGAGATAATCTTCCATAATACTGAAAGAACTGGGTGGTTTTGACTCATTTACACGAAGCAGGAGGCGTTTCAATATTTTCCCATAGGCTTGCAATGTAAAGGTCACGAGTCTGGCCTGACCTCAGGTCACAGATATAAAAATTCTGAGATATACAAATTGCACATACCGGTACCCTAACTAAAGCCTGAAGAGAAGAAATTGATCGGTCAAAAACTCTAGCTCTGGCGTGATTGCAAACTTTTCTGAGGTAGGGTCACCAAACCGCCTCTGGTGACCTGACCTGAGGTCAGATCACCTCAACATTTTCAGAAATGTTGCGTAAAAGCCTTTTAGAAAAAGTCAGAAAATTTGAGCTTCCTAGCTCAAAGCGTTTGGGAGATATAACCAAAAAACCTCAGGGGGGGCTCCTGAGGCCCCCCCGCCAGGAATAGGGTTAAATGAAAAGACATGGTAGGTGCGCACTGCGCTAGATGTGAACACTGATAAATAACATGTTATTCTTACTTGGCCATGGTACGAAACACGATTCCGGTGCTTAATGAACTGCGAATATTTAAGGTTCTGACACACTTTTTATCGAAACTAAAAAAGTTTCTTTTTACGGGCCACTGTTCCTGTTAATTAGAAGCTGAACGCGTATCTCTCAGAGACATTTAAAGGGGAGATGAATGAAACTAATAGCAAAAATAAATATGTACCTAACTAAATAAACGTTCGTCGACGCACGCCCTGACCCAGCAGCTTATGTAACCCTGAACGTTCAGCTATGGATAAAGCCACTAGCCGGGAAAGTGCGCCATTCGGTTGTCATAGCACCGGCTCGGACCGACGAACGCGAATGACGCAGATGGCGAAGTGCGCAAGACGGCTCCGCTAGTCACTTGTCCTTTGATCGGCGGCCTTCAAGAGGTATCCTGCAATGTCTATATATAGCTCGTCGCGGGGTCGGTCGTA